ATAAATTATAATACTGTTTATTTTAAATAAAATGCCTACTACTTTTTATTGAAAATGACGGTATTACGTTTTAGCCAATCTGAATGCAGTTTGAATAGAGTTAAGAGATCAATATATAGTTGTAAAGAATACATTTCTTTTAATTTCCAAGGTCATTGATGTTTTCTCAATTGCAATATCTCCTATTCCAAAAATTGAAATAAAATGTCTTAAAAATCTTAAAGAATTAAAAATTACCATTATTTGTATCATGGTTTCACAAACTATCTGAAAACTTCGTAAATAATAATTAATATAATATAAAAAAATAATAATCCTTAGTTTCACTCAATTCCTTTATCATTTATCCAATTTCATTCTCACACAACTAAAAATTGCACAAACATTACGTCTATATAAAATACCAGCACTATTACCAGCCTAATCAATAACCTAAACAGTTTATTTAAATTATATCCTATGAACCAATTGTCTCTTGAAATATGTCCAAAATAAACCACCAAAAAATTCCAAACTTTCAGAATTGTCAAAAAGAATGGTGAGAAAAAATTAACAATATCAAATAGGATCATTATCTCTACCACTGTTTATTTCCTGCACTCTATTACTTTGGCCCAGGCGAAGCGATCAAGGCTCCATGAACGGTTCGATTGCCACCCGCGTTAACATTACAAATTTTCCGCCATAGATGGCGAAGTAATCGCGGGCACTAACATACGGCGCGAGCCAGTCTCGCGTATTGTCGGACGGATCGGTGCAAACAGCCGATAAATCCTGGCGAGAATTTAATAAAGTTGCCTTGACGCGCTGCTAAACGCGCCCCCACCACTCGGCCGGCGGTGAAAAAGTGGGAAACGCGCTTAACGCGTGGCGACACGAGCGGCGACAAATTCCGATGGTGCACCCATTACGCGTCATTCCCCATCGGCATTCGACGACTATGAACCCCTCTAGCCAGCGTGAAACGCATAATGAACGCGGACAACTTTCCAGCCATTGTCTGTCCGTCGTAATTCTTCCTTCGAATCGCGCCGCGATCCTTTATCTTTCCAGCAGTTTTAATGTGCCCGGACCGTTTAAGATTGCGAGATGGATAATTTTCTTTCTGCTTTTTCGACGCGATTTTCTTCGATTCCTCAGGGGAAGTGGAAGTTTCAGGGTAGGTAGTTGGATAGGAAAATATTTGGATATAGAAACACCAATGGGGATTTAATATCGGTGTAATTCTGATTGCGGTACTGTGATAGTAATATTATAGGGAAATCGATTATTATCGAAATCGGCTGTCACCGATACCGGTGTAATATCGAAATAGATTATCGAATTGAACTATTATCGATATTGGTATTGTATTGAAACTGATGTAACACGGAAATCGAATATTATATAATTCTGCAAGTTGTTGTAGGTTATGTTATTTATCGTCCTACAAATTTCGCAGATGACTCCTTTTCAATCACGCATAGTAGCACTTTATTTCCCCTCCCTCTCCCTCGAACCTCTTGCCATCTGTGGGGCAACGTGGGACATCAAAGGACATCGTGGTACCCGTTTGTTTTAGGTTTAATTAATTATAGGTTCTTTCGTCATGTTTAATTTTTAGTTCGTGATTTTCTGTGTTAATATATCGTGTATTGTTTGGAACGAAAAATTTTCATATTCCCCCTCCCGTTTGATTCGCGAAGCGAGCGATTATCCATTCTCAATCGCTCTATTCTGTGGGAAAATATGGTGGTGGTAGATAGATTGCTTGGATTGGGGTGTTCCGGCTGTTTTTATGAGTTAATATGGGGTTGATATTTAGTGACGTATGGTATTTAAGTGACCCTGGGGAGATTTTTGGTCGCGTCAGTTTTAAACGAGTTTTGATATGGGAAACTCGTGTTTACAGATTCGAGATTATCGCCTGTGACACTGCGTGATTTATTAATATTTGCTTATACAGTATAATATTCGTTTGTGTATATTGTAATATAATATTAATATTAATATTGTATATAATAATATTGCAATATAGTATAATATCATTATATTATTAATATATTATATATATCTTAAAAAATGGTATTTAAGAATTTTGTAATTATAGAAAAAAAATTGTCTAGCTATGATTTTGCATTATTTTCAAGAAAAGAAAATATTTTATAACAGGAAGTAATTTGCTTATACAGCACTTTATCCATTTATATGTATCATAATATTGTATCAATAATAATATTGTATATAATAATATTACAATATAGCATGATATTATTATATTATTAATATATTATTATTATTTTAA